ATTGATAACCCTGCGAGTGGTGTCAGGACTCAGGATCCAGAGACTTTGCTGGCAAAAGCTGCAGTGCCCACGAGCAGCTGCAGAATTCCCAGAAAGCCCCAAAAGTGGCAGGGAAGGGAAATCTCCGGGGTTTGTCAATCCTGGTGTTTTAAAGCCTGCGTTGATGTCTCTGTCTGGAGACACATCCAGAACCAGGCATATTCTGAGTGAGTGCTGAAATGAAGGCGGTTTCATCCTTTCTGCCCAGGCACAGACGTGGGCAGCTCCTTCCTGCTGAGCCTGTCACAGGTCGCCCAGCCCACAGGCACCTCCAGGAGCACCTCCAGGAGCACCTCCAGGAACACCTCCAGGAGCACCTCCAGGAGGACCTCCAGGAGTACCTCCAGGAACACCTCCCAGGAACACCTCCCGAACACCTCCAGGAGCACCTCCCAAACACCTCCAGGAACACCTCCAGGAGCACATCCAGGAACACTTCCAGGAAAACCTCCAGAAACACCTCCAGGAGCACATCCAGGAACACTTCCAGGAACACCTCCAGAAGGACCTTGAGGAACATCTCCAGGAGCACCTCCCCAGCGCCACCCGCACAGCAGCACCCAGGGAAGCAGGCAGAGGCGGCGGCCTGGCTGGGCTCACTCATGCTCTTCCACTTGCCTTTGACACTTGGCACACGTGGAAGTGTTCATTACAGCAAATCCCTAATGTTCCCTCTTGTAAAATAACCACGTGGGAGATGGCTTGCTTAAAGATAAACAAACATACACTGGGTTGCTAAATGCCTCTGAGCTCTAACTTCTGAACTGGGCCCTTCATATTCAGAAAGTGAAACAAGGAACCAAAGCAGAGCAATCAATCTATTTCCATAACCAAATGGAAAGCAAAACCCAGAGCTACAATGAAATGTCACTCTATTCAGTGATTTATATTATGCAATCTAAATATTCTAAGTAATTTAAATTTAATAATTGAAATAACTCTAAAAAAAATAAGAAATTTTCATGTGAAGCCACCAGTGAAAAGCCATAAGACTTGATTTTGGAAAAAGACAAAGATTTTTTGCCTGCATTTTCTCCTGTCTTTGCAAATGAAGCCCATCTGAAAACTATATTCAACCATGTTTTTTCTTTCCTTTTTTAAATTTTTTGCCAAAATAAACCTATCTTGCTCTGGCTGACATCCAAAGGTATTTAAATAGAACATCCAAAAAAACCCAACTTAGTGAGAAGCAGATAGGCCTTCCCATGGTAGCAAACCTCATTTTTTTGGTATCATCTTGCCATCAGCATCCATTACCACCAAGGATGCAGCTTTTACTGGCAGCTCCTCTATATTAGGGGCTCTTAAATCTATTCTTAATTAAAACTATTCTTAATTAAAACTATTAAAACTATGTCACCAGTTACCTTCTAAACAGGCTTATAAGATAATTCAGGTTGGAAGAGTCCTCAGGAGGCCTTTCAGTCCAGCCTCAAACTGTAATGAGAATCTCTAAGGTATTGCCCAGCCAGTTAATTAACCCTCCTTCATCTACCTTGCATATATTTAACTTTTCATAAGCAGTGCTGAAGTTACATTCAGAAATAGCTGTGATCACCGTGTGTTATTTATTGGCAAGAATTATTTTTGAGAGGCAATTACAATGTATGGGGGCAGGGAGTGTTGCATAACAAAGGTTTTCAGCAAAAAATTAGGAACTTGTTTGTCTTCACAAGCTTCCAGGTGTCCTGTGGCACTTCTTTTGTGCCAAGACAAAATGAAGTTTTTCTTGCTCTGTCCATTCCTTTCCAGAGCTTTCCTCTTCTGCTTTTGAAGCTCTAGGCCAAAGAGCATCTCTTGCTTGGTATTCTGCAACAACCGTGTGACAAACACACCAAAAAACAGTGTATTGCTATCTCCCAAGCACTCAGCTCAGCGGCCAGGTGTTAACCAGTTAACGTGGGGAAGGGAAGTGTGGTATGAAGCTGACAAGTGATATTAGAGTGTGGTGGTCTAGTCCCTTAGGATGCCCCAGACCCACAGCCAGGGCATCTGAGACACAGATGGAGCACTGAGATGAGCAGCTACACACGTGAGCAGCCCCAGGGCACTTTGAAACGTCCCAGAGGTTCACAGACAGACCCATCTATGGTGAAAGCACCAGCAAGGACTTGCCAGAAAAGCCTGAAGCACTGATATGGGACTTTTAATTTCAAACTGCATTTTCAGTGACCACTCCCTTACGTTATGCAAAGTACACAGTATGGTCAGTGACAGAAAGCCACTTTTCCACTATTTCAGCAGCACTGATGTTACTAAAAATGCTACTCAATCCTTTTATTTTTGGAATCACTAGCTACAATTATTTCAGTCTATCATCATCAGCAGACATGCACTGAACAGACTCTGAGATGACAGGGGACAGAGCTTTTCAGATACTTTTTCCCAGATCAGCCAGATGATTTTCCAAATTAATTTAACTATTCAGCCATTAATTACTAAATAAGCAGTTGATTTTGATGGGACCAGACTGTAGAGCCTTCTGGCAACTCTTGTTACCAGTTCAGTGCAACTGCCAAAGGGCTACCTTATACTGGAAACTTTGGCAGGAGTTGTGGGCTGATAAACCAGGGGACACCACTGGAACATCAGGGGGTTTTGATCAATAGAATCCACCTAAACAGATGAAGTTAAGGCCTTTTTTCACATGTAGAAATTAAAAGCAATATAGACATAGAAATAAAGTTAGCTAATGTATCTGACCATGGTAAACCCCCAGCTCTGCAGGTATTAAGCAGTGGGGTAACTTCTTTTACATACTGGCTCAGAATGGGTAAGGTTTCTCTAATAAGTAACTACTGCAAAAAAAACCAAATCCCTGTTATGATTATTTTAATTTGAAAATGACATTTAGATGTGTGACTCCATTTTAGCAAGTTACAAGGTTTTTCTTCACCCCAATTTTTTGCAAAAAGTTCTTCTTTAAGGTATCAAATTAATTTGAAGGTTATCATGAATGGAACTGTACAGAGAGACATGCTTGGAACAGGAATGGAAAGAGTATGGACTGGAAAACTGGAGACTAAATTCAGAAATTTCACATACCAGAGGAGAGGCCATGCCATCCATTTGTCTGTGGTAGTGAATTTCTCTTGCAAATGGCTTGTTCAACCCTAGGATCAGAGTTAACCTGGACTATCTTAGTCCTTATTTTCCCAGAGCAGGCAATGAAAACAAAAGAGAGCTTCTGAGAAAAAAATTCCATTAAAAATTTGCTGCCTCTCTGAGATAAGAGGAACAAGGGTCATATAGTCCAACAGAGTACAGAGCAAAACTAGGATCTCAAATATGTCTGTAAGACTATCCAAAGATGAAATAACCTTTCCAATCCAATACAATTTAATAGACCAACATGCTTCATGCCACCTTGTTTTAGAGTAGTAGTCATTTGGTCTGACACCTGCATTATATTATTTCTATTGGGAAAAATGTATTTAAAATCACAGGGACCATATATTTAGCCATCAAGGACAGAGGAAAATATCCTAGTCAATCATTTATCCCCTGGAGAGAACCCCTGAGCCAAAATTGCTTTTACTATTATAGCAGGACCTTTTACATCAGTGTGGAATTGGAGAGAGGAAAAAAGAGAGACAGGATTGTTTTAACGTTTTCCCTCTGGCATTGTTGCTCTCCAGCAAAGGCGCGAGTCCAGGGTGATGCACACACAGAGCATCCACTTCCAGTGCATCCATCACTGAGTGCAAAATCATCCTCATGCTCTGGACTGTGACTGCCCTTCCTTAGACATGACAAGTAAGCAGGTCACTAAAATATCCTGCAACATGGAGCATCTAACTGGGAAACAAGCTCTGACCTACTGTTTTCTGTTTCTAAATATTTGGGGATTTGAAAGTTCAGCCTCAAGCACGCATTCATCTCAGGCAGTTCAGCTGTCACTTGTAATACAAATCAAAAGATGATGGATGGCAGAATCTGCCCAGAAGTTCAATTCCTGCTAGGGTCATTCTGTCCATAGTGACCACTTTTCCACACTAACCACATCACTTCATTGCTCTCCTCACCATAAGCATTTTTTACACATGAAAGTGCATACATAGATGTGTACAAAACATTCATCTACCATCTATAAAATTTCTCTGGTCTGAAGTTTTTCCAGCTGACATATTGGTTTATGTGCACACTGCCTTCTGACATTATTACATTTCCCACTGCCACATGAAAACTGAAAAAAAAACCAAAAAATCAGAGCATCTTTATATTCATCCTGTACTGTACTGCTTATGTTTCTGTAGATGAACCTATGAAGTCTATATACGGAAGATATGCATTAATATTTTAAAATTTACCTGTGAAAATATACTGATTATGCACTCTTGTGCAGCCTCTATACGTTTATTTCATGCAAACATACTGGTAGAAAAGTTTACTGGTAGGAATGTCTGTAGAAATACTACATTTTACAATATTTATTGTAAGCAATATTTCTATATATGTAAGTGTATATATATATATATATAAATATTCATATAAATTTCACTCCTCCAGCAAGATAAACAGAAATATAGCTCAATATATGTTCAAACTAGCTCATGTTTAACTTGCAGTAGCAAAGACCAGCAATAATGTGCTCTAGGAACAAGCAAACTAGGAATAATGAATTTTTATTGAAGGATTAAATAACTGCTGAATTACTACTGCAGCCCACAGACATATTAACTTGCAGGTTATTTTCAAGGTAAGGAAGCTGTCAAAAGAAATGTGTCCTTACAAGAAATTCATCTGCCTTGAACACTAACCATCCAGTCACATTCTGAAGAGTCCAAAGATCAAAATGGAGGGGTTAATGTAGTTCCCTACAATAAATGGTGCTTCAGCAGTAACTCACCTTTGTAAAGCCTGATTCATAGAATGCTTTCTGTTTTCCCTCCGGGGTAGCCCAAGTGTGTCTCAGTCTTCTCTTGGTGACAATGACACTGCAATTATTTCCATCCTTGCAGCTGGCAGCTGACTTGATCTCGAGCATATTCACAGCCATTGGCTTGGTGACGCTGGCCCTGCTGGTGGTGCTGTCCTTGGCCATGGTGGTCTCCGCTGTCACTGCCAGCAAACGGGCGACACAGGGCACCTACAGCCCCAGCCGCCAGGAGAAGGAAGGGTCCCGGGTAGAGATGTGGAACATGGTGCAGCCACCACCTGTGGAAAGACTGATCTAGAAGAAAGCAAAGCCACTCCTCCATCCTCAGACCTGGCTGAAAGGGGACACCGAACATATGTAAGATATATTCATTTTCCTTCTGATAAATATTACAACAATTCTTTCATTGCTTTCCTTTTAAGTTCAGTAGTGAACAAATGACATTTATCATTGCTGATGACCAGCCCATCCAAGGACAATTTTTATTTGCACTGGAAACTCCAGCCTTGATAATCAGCAGTAGGCATTATGGACAGTAATGGCTCCTGGAATAAATGTAACTGCCTGTCCTGGACACCACACGGATAACAGCTTCTCCTTTTGCACTCTCCTTTGGCTGCCTAGCAATCACTGCTGCAGAAGATGATGCAGACAAATCAGCTAAGTCTGTACAATAAAGACATTGTAATTCTTTCATCAAAGGTTTTAGTACTAGAACTAGATGCTTCAAATTTGTTTTTCTTCCTTCTAGTTCTTTTGTTTCACTTGCTGTTCCTCCACCTTCTACTAAAATGAAAGTGAAATGAGTTTCAGTTTCCAAAAGAACATATTTCTCTTAGGATAAAAGACTGTGGCATAAAATACCCAGTGGGCACAACCTGACCTGTTAGGAGATATTAAATCTAATTATCCTAAACAAGTTGTGTGCATCTACACTACTGCCTTTTTCCTATTACAATATTACCCAATCATCCCTTTTAGAAAATTATTGCTTCTCGCATTGCAAATGTACATTGGATGCCAAAATAAATGTTTCCTAAAGCTCATGGAAAATACCAGGAAAGAGGAATAAGTGGCCTACAGGTAGAACATTGGCTTGAAAATAATTAGGCCAAACTTGGTGCTTCTCCTGGAACTAAGACTTCTCATAAGATCATGGGCAAATAAATTGTTATGCCTCAAGTTTCCTCTTTTAAAACAGGGATAATCCTATTTAACTACCTCATAAACCTCAGCAGCAAAAGGGTTGCTGTGTCAAAAAAGAAACAAATGCATGAAATGTAATGAAGAAGCTTGGAAGAAATCTTGTAATGAAACAGACAATTACATAGATGTAATAAAAATCACATTGACATGTAATGCAATGAAACAAATATCTGATACAAAGAAATGTTGTAATGAAATAGACATTTGAAAATGTAAGTTAACAGTTGGACTCAATGATCTTAAAGGTATTTTCCAGCCTTAATGATTGTATGATTCTTTGTGCCAAAAATTTATTCAATGTCAAAGGGGTTTTTGGAATGTAGAGGCAAAATTTAACTGTAACTCATGCAGTCAATTTTCAGACGTAGTCAAGTAATTAAATCACAAACATTGCTCCCACACAAACTGAATCCACAATAAGGAGGCAACAGAGTGGAAAGGCCATGAAGGCATTTCTTTCTGCACTTCAGCTTGCATGTGCCCACAGCAGTGAAACATCCCAACATCAACCCCCAGATTATTCCAGGAGTTGCATAACAGGGTACGCACACTCAGTATCCAAGAGTTTAACTCATCTTTTCAATTAATGATCCTTAATTGAATAAATGATAATTAATTCTGGATGACCCCTTAAGGGATTACTGAAGATCAATGCCACTCACATTTATTTTTATATTAGATGATTAGCAGTAACTATGATAGTAAGCACATTCAGGACTTTGTGCAGTCCTCACCAATATCTTTCAAAACAAGGCACTACAGAAAATGTGAGTGGATGGTTGGATTCAAGCTGAGTTGGAAGAATGTAGTCACAGCAAAAATGCATGGCAGATTTTATTCCGGCCAAATTTACAGCTTTACTACTGAAGCTTATTATTTTGAATGCAACTGCTGTTGTACAGCTGCAGTCTAAATTCAGAGAGTTCAAAAGAAAACTGAGGAAATAGTGGAAAAATAAGTTACTAAAATTATGATGAGAGAGAGCAGAAATTCTTTTCTCCGGATCTTTTCAAATCATGGCTTTTTTTCCCTTTTTGCCTCACTCACAAGAAAGACAAACCATGTCAAGAAAGTGGCCAAGTCTCCACATGGGAGACTGTGATAACAAGGGGACAAGCAGTAAGTGAGTGAGGAAGAGAAGGCTGGGAAAATCTTGGGGACAGCAAGCTCTGAACACTAGGACAAATCTGGAAGAATGAATTAGGCTCAAGCAGCAGAAGCAGCACTGGACTAACAAAGTGGACACAAAGAATATGCTTCCACACACCTGCTTTATGCTCTCGATTTTGTGGTCAATGAGCTCAACTGAGAGAATTGATAGAGATCTCAGGGAATAGCAGAGATGGAGAAAGAAAAAGAGAAATTAGCTGATATCAGAAATAGCAGTAGAATGGTTATAATAAAGATCTAACTTTGAAGTCTGCCTTTATTTGAGCAGGAGGTTTAACTAGATGACATCAGCAGATCCCTTCCAGGCTTAATTATTACCTTATCCAAGGAAAAAGGACAAAAGAGAGAAAGCAGCTGAAGATGGAGTCAGTTTGCAAGGAGAACTAACTTGAAGGAAAGCACAAGGAAAGAATAAGAATAAGGAAGTAGCTGAAAAGTAAATCTGCTCTTCTCTATGGTTTGACTTTCTGGATGAAATTTGGGAGACAGTTGAAAAACAATCTGTAGAGATGTAATAAAATATTCCAGAAAGTGTTGCCACAGAGAGAATCTTTAGGGCTGAGCAAGATACCCAGGAGCGTGTGCAGAGGAAAGAAGAGGCAGAGAAGATGAAAGCCTGAAGACTTTTCATACAGACCAAAGAGAGTTCAGGAGGAATATGCTCCTAGAGAATTAAAAAGACATCTATAAAAGCACAACAAAGAGAAAAATCTCACAGTGAAATACAAGTGTGGTTTGTAGAAAGTAAGTCAAGGAGACAGAAGGCAGGGGAAAAAACCTTTAAACTAAGATTAGAGTAAGTTGAGATTGCTGTCAGCCTCGGTGGAGAGGAAGTGATAAAAGTAAGAGTGGTGGAAATCCACAGAAAAATGAGAGAAGAAAAGGAAATGAAAGTAAATGGCACTTGAGGGAGGTGGAGGCAAAAGCTGGATCGCAGCAAGGTGGAAGCTGGACTTTCACAGCAGTGAGGCCAAAAGAAACAGTGGGAGGATGATGGTGAGTCAGGAATTAGAATTACCTATTGAAACAGATCTTTGTAGGATAACTCGCAGGGAGCATGTTTTACTTCAAATAGGGATTAAAATGTGGAATATTCAAAACTCTATGATCTTATAAGCAACAAAAAAAAAAAAAAAAAAAAAAAAAAAAAAAAAAAGAGGCCTAGAAGGCAACAAGTCATTTCCAAACACACTTCCTGAAAATCTGCATTAACGAAGCAACATCCAAAGGCAGCAGGGAGGTAAATGCTGCATCTGGAAATGCTCAATTGGCAGCCTGGAGAGGCACAAAAAGTCCCAAAGCTTTCACTTCATGAACATGCTATAGCCACCATAATATGCATGGTTAGGAAGACTGACCCTTCTGGCCCATGTCTCAGCCAGGGAACAACAGCTAAAACAAAGGAGAATACATTTTAAAGAGTCTCTAATAACATCCCTGATGAAATTTAACCCACAGATTAAGACTGAGATAGAAGATGCCAAGGTATTTTCTGCTTCTCAGCCCAGGGGTTTAATAGAATGTATAGAAGCACAGACATTCAGGGAGGAGCAATAACATCTAGGAGTTGTGGAGAGCAGGTGTGCTGCTATAAGAAAAAATATTGAACTTGGCTTCTGGTTCCCAAAAAAGCACTGGCAACCTCTACTACTCTGGCAGGATCTCCACATGAAAGTCTTAAAATATTTCAGAATTCCATTTGTTTAATCTCTCTCACTATTTGACTAAAAAGCTTGAAGTATAATATATTATTCATGATCACTTGCAATCTATCCATTAAAGGAAAAAAAAAAAGCTCAATATACTCCCAAGCCTTACATATTTAACCTTCTCTCCATGTCGAATAGCCTTCTACAAACAAAGAGAGGGTGCTAAGTTAGAGCATACAGTCTGCTCTGCACCAAATCCCTCCAAAGGTACTCAGAGGCAGGGGAAGGATGAAGCAACTTATCCCCTTTCATGGTCCATTCCCTTTTCCTTGGAAGAGGTGGCATCCAACCTGTGAAACAGTGAGCATTACCTTGCATTATGTGCCTTCTCTGTTTTATGTAACATTAACTGTTCCTTCTCTATATGTACATAATATGTTCATAGTTTAGATGCTGTATTCATATTACTGTTTTGCTCTGTACAGAATCAAAATGACCAATAAATACGGATTATATTGAATCCTATATTGTTTTTACTTTATGGGATTCTTTCATCATGCAATTACAAAGGAAATTATCCCTAGATCAGAAGTATATTTACAGTTTAAGAAGTCAAGTTTGCAATTAGAAATCAAGTGATCAAGAAACATTTTCCATGCTTGTGAATAGATGAACAGTGAGGGCTGCCAGCCTCAGCACTGCAATCTGCACCATCCTTTGCTGCCCATCCAGGTTTCTGGCCAGTGATTATTTCTGTCATTGTCTACATCTGGCTAGTGATTATTGTTCCCACAGATGCTAATTAATAATAAAATTAATCTTATTTACAGTATTAAATAAGTAGCTGACACACTTTTAAAACATCCATAATAAATACAGTCCCACAGTAGAAAGCTTGTCTCCAGATAAGAGACAGCAAAGTCTTTTTCCCAGCCCCAAATGTCTGTACTATGTTTTATTTAACATAAGCCCTAAGTCTCACTTCAGGACAAACCTTTACATGTGTAATGTCACATAACATTAGGAATCACAGATCAGAGGATTTTGGCCAAGTTCCTTTTTCCTGTGCTATTCAATCACCTCTCAGCTAAAGAAAACTGACACCTCTGAAAACAATTCAAAAAAAGAGCATCAGATTAGGCATTGTAACTCAATGAAGTTGAGCAGTGAATAGCTGACATCACTAGAATTTCGCCTATTGCAAGATGTCACAGTTGAATGAATGGACGGGGCTTTCATGCCCCACTGAAGCATGCACAGCCTTCAAACTACT